CCCTTACACCATATAAAAAGTGGTTCCTTTCATTTAGGGTCAATAAAACTGTCCATTACTATTAATCATGATAATCCGTTCTTATAACACTCAGGCAAAGCTTGTGTTACTGTTAACTATAAGAATAGATGTGTGCCTGACTTACTAGCAGTCTACCAAGCAGACTGAGTAGTAGTTCTGCTGCAGGCCACTCCGGTTTATTTACTGTGGAGAGTAGGTCCTGGACAAAGTTCTCAAACAACGGGCGGTAGTCTTCTTCTCCCTGCTTACTGCCACACCTGGCAGTTAGGGAAAGGCAAGGGGAAATGTCATTATATGAAAAAGGAACAAATTCATGAAACATATAGTGTGGGGCTTCGAGATACAAGCTACCTGAAATACGAGTTTTGGAACTTTTGCATAGATTTGCTATGAGGAAACATTGAGTTACGAGTGCTCAACCGAGCTCCATTTTTCACCTGAACTCTGTCGCGCTGTCCCGCCTACTGTCCCTCGCTGGGTTATTTTACTTATTTCTATAACAATAATATAAAATCAAAAAAAAGTTACATCAAAAGGGAACTGGACGGGGTAGAAGTAGGTGTTTTTTTAAGACGTTTCATATACTAATATAAATTCAAACAATAATATAAAATGTCTGTGAAGATTCTCATTCATGCAGTTCAAGTTATCCATAGAGTATCCATAGAGTTTAGTTGTTTTGAGCTTGTAAGACGTTTTGTTCCTCAACTGAAGAACTTCATCAGGACTGTGTTTCAAGCTCAAAGAAGTTGCTTACAACTAAATTCTATTGATAATAATATAAAATGTTTTCTTAATTATAATTATTTTATATTATCAATATATTTGTTTATATCTATGTTTTTGATGTTTAGATGGGGAGATTTTAGTTTAATTATGAATAGTATATTTTTAGGGGCAGGAAAAAGTTAATTCTTCTTTTTATTTCGGCTTTGTCCCTTTTTTTTTCAGGGGTTGCCACAGTGAATCATTGATTTCCATCTCTCCCTGTTCTCTGCATCTTCGACTCAGACTCCAACTATCTGCATGTCCTCCCTCACTGCATCCATATGTCTCCTCTTTGGCCTTCCTGTTTTTCTCCTACCTGATAGCTCCATCTCTAACATTCTTCTATAAATGTATCCACTGTCCCTCCTCTGCACATGTCCAAACCATCTCAATCTGGCTTCTCTAGCTTTTTCTC